TAAAAAATGCAACCCAACACACAGGCCATATTTCTCACCTGATATCTGGGATGTGTGTGAGGAGAAATAATCACAAAGAGTATGAGTCAGTAGTTGCAGCTACAATGTGAGAGGGAGGGAGGGTGAGGGTACTGTAACCAAGACCCCTGATTATTCGACTTGCACTCCATAATACTAGCTCGGTTATTGAACTTGGACAAGTTCAGCGCACACTGGGTCAAGCATGGCAAAGCCTCAAAACATGGTCAGTATAAGTCTGCAATAGTTAGATAAGAGAATATCCAGGTCTTAGATTAAATTAAAAAGTCTGCAACTTGTGACATGCTGAAAATACAGATTGTTTTCCAGGTCAATGCATGATTAGTGGTGGGGCCTAACTGCCTGGCAGAGAACTATGGATTTCATAAAGACTTCACCTGATTCATAGGATGATAAAGCAGTAGTGGTAATTCCAAGGACAGGCTCCTTCTATCTGTTTCACACTGTGCAGTAAAAACACTAATCTACAAATCTAATATCACTAGCATGTCTAAACATATTTATTTACAATATATAAACTGATGCTTTGTGTGCTATTAAACCTGTAGGGAAGTCATAATGGAACATTCATAATTAAAATATGTATGAAGGCATATAATTTGCCAGAAACCTTCCATACTGCCACTCATTACATAATGCAAAGATGAAGTAACAGAAACCTACTAAGACCTACTTCTACAAAACAACTGAATGCATAATACAAATATTATGTTTCTGGACATTCTCCATTAATCCTGTCTTTATCTAAAAACACCGTTCTGTTTATTTTTCAAAACACAATGTTTTGGAGACTGGATTCTGTCTCCATCTTCAGGTGAAACCTACTCAGTTGGGACCAATCGATACAGCTAGTCCGATGTCCAGAAACATAATATTTGTACTAACGTACCACTGTCACAAACTTCCAGATCCCAATCAACTGCATGTCTTTCAACAGTATTACAAGACTGCCATGAGAAAGCAGAACAACCCTGATGATGAAGAGTTCCATCTTCAGGGACAAAAAGCTGTGTAGTCTGAAGAAAGTCGACGGACATTTCAGAGAAACACGTTACCATCTGCAGGGCTGAAGAGCAAGCCAAGGCAGAATCTAGCATGAAGCAGGTAGCAAGCAAAGCCTGCTTCATATTGGCCTTCTTCTTGACTTACTCTTCAACTCTGCAGATGGAGGCAGCGTGTTCCTCTGAAATATCAGATGACTTTCAACAGACTGCACAGTGCACTTCATAACCGATACTCTGAGAACGTCATATCCTACACGTTTCAACATGATGAAATTTCAGCCGAAACAAGTCAGGTGATTAAGCACTCAATTAATGTGATTCTCACAAATTTCAGCAGACATTTTTATTTTATTGAATTAAAATATAGATACGTACAATGGTGATAATTTCATCTAAAAGGAAAGTAAGTTGCTAACAATTGTCTGGTGGACTTAATAACAATATTTCTTACAATCCAAGTAATGATTCCAGGGCCATATTAAATTCAGGACAGTTATGCAAGCCAACATATCCTTCTGGGTGAAAACGGACAATTCAACGTATGCTAAATGCTTGGCAGTGGCAGCCCTAATCCACATGGACTCACTCCCACCTCATGACAGTGAATACCAAAACCATGGCCTCAATGCTAGGAGGGTCTGGAGACGCTTCCAGGTCACAGTTCAATGTCAGAAAAAAGGTGACACTGCACATCTATACTCACTGTGATGTAAACTCATCAGAAAATAAACGAAGTGCACATGGTTATTCCAAAAATATCTTAAAACATTTTTAGCTATTTTTTAAATATTTTTAGTCATTAGGGTTCATCATGTGAATCTTCTGCAAATCCACTTCACCTAAGGTTCACACAAATCCTTCACTCAACTATGTAAAAGTTTAAGCATACACTACTAAAAATGAACCAAAATGCAGTGATGCCACGGTGTAATGGCAAAAGGGAAATTATACAAGATAATAAGAATATTTTCCGAGGTTTTATGAACACTAGTTTTACATGCATTTTTTATATATACTGCACACTGCATGTTCTACAAATCTCATAATTCTTGATTTAATCACCTCAGCAATTAGGTGATGAACAATAATTATGAACCAGNGTTGTCACTTGCAGATTTACTTATACTTCTTCAACCCTGAAGATGGGGGCGATACGTTCCTCCGAAACGTCGGTTAACACCACATATACACGGTGCCAAATCCCAGAAGACTGCTTTCTTCATAGTCACCGCCGTGAAAGCCTCAAATCTTACAGATGAATCCAGTCTATGTCCTCACAGTTTACTTCTCTAAGATCCACTTTAATACTATCCTCTCTCTCTCAACCTCCTTGATTTGATCATCTTAACAACATTAACCACAGAGCTGAAATTATCGAACACCTGGTTATGCAATTTTCTTAATACTCCTGTTAATCCTCTCATGTAGCATCAATAACTCTTATACATATCCACTATTTTTATAAAATGGAAAGTCAAATCATAGATGGAAGACCACACATCTTAGTACTTTGCATTACTACTGAAGTTTCTAAAACTGAATTAACGTTCTGCCAAGGAAACAGAAAACCACCATTCAGAGCTGTGGTAATAGGTAGGCAAAATATGGAGTGGAAAGAAAGGTTGATTCCCCAACTTTCCCACCCCTGTAGATAATTTACTATGGTACAGTTCACGACTATTTGTGTAAGTCATGTCTGATGTTTATGCTGCTGTAGTTTTCGTGGACTTACAAAAGTAGCAGCTCTATGTCCAAAAATGCGTCACCTGAATGATAAGTATTTTAATGGCGAAAAAAGGAAATGAGACAACGGCACCATGAAACACATTTCTGCTTATATCAACCTTCATTCATCGATTCTTCTTACTGTCCGTGATTACTGCTAAAAGACAGTGTTAATCTAGCAAGCGTACCTCTAATTCGTATTCTCACAGGTCTAGAAAATAATGACGTTTGAAAATTTGGTTCACAATTCCTAGCACTTTGACAATATTTACCATTTTACATTAAAATCATTTCTTCTCCATAAGGATATATTATATCCTAAACAATTAAACGCATCAATTTGTACCGGCATCCCACTATTAATGCTTATCTTGCCTCCAACTGGTTCCATTCCTCGAAAAATTGTAATTTTAGTCTCTTCAGTATTTATCTCCACTGAAAAATCTGCAAGTGAGACTACTTACTACCTGATATGAACGTACGAGGGGTGGGCCTTCCTGGCCCTTGCACCGCGACCTACAGTGGTCTATTGTGCTTTACTATCTGATAGGTAGTTTCTTGTTATCTGCTTGAATGCAATATATACAAAGTTTCTTAGAAGTCTCCCCCTTTCAACAAATGTAACTGAATTTTGATGGCAATGCATCTTGAACACAATGTTCAATGCATGACATGAAACCACAAACATTTGAAAACTTTTTCAGAAATAAGATCACCAACCTTCCTTTGCAGCATCACTACAGGCAGTATTCATGACCGATTTTAATTCAATTTATTCACCCAATAATTAGAAAAGGACAGAGAGAATAAACATTTGAAATCAATTTTATGAAATAACTGACATTCCTTAAAACAAAGCAAATGTAAACGGAATGCAAAGCAAAGATGGAAAAAACATATGTGTGTGCATCTCCATTTGATGCGTAAAGATGTAGACACAAGTCCGAGTATTGGATCTTCTTCGGCTTTCGTGAATTAGGCTTGAAACTGTTTCAGCTTGACAGCTGTTGAAAGTTTAATATGGGATGTCAGTTCCTACATATTTACATGATGTATTAACAATAACAGCGATATTAAAGAGAAGTAGGAAGTGGGAGGAAAGATGAAAGTTAGTAAATTGAACCTACTGAGATAAAATCTTGAACTTAAGGGATGTGCAGATTAGCCAAAATACAAAATAAGGCTTATATGAAGAACAAAATATTTATAAAGCAAATGGAAACACACACTATGGAGGGTGGGGGGGAGGATAAACCAGCTTAACTAAATGGACTACAATGAACTCTCACAATGTGCACTTTGGTAAGGTACAAAGTGATAGAAGAATATTATATATGAAACCCAGTAAACGATATAATGATACAAATTCCGTCCCAAGTGCAAACAATATATTATGTGTCCTTGATCTTGCTCCTCTACACTACATGTTTCGGCCTCAGACGGCCATCATCAGGTGTATAACACTCACGTTGCTGTCACACTGCACCCAGCCCAAAATTTAATATTTAAAACACTTTCCTTGTTATTATCAACATCTACTTCGTTGATATCTGTCTGGTTTGTAGATTATTTTTGTTACACACGTTAATTTTGATGTTCCTGTAGTAGCACTATAAAATCTTTAGTTCTAATTTTAAAATCTTTTAAAATTTTTCTCTAAATTTTAAATTTAAAATTGTTAGGCCGAAACATGTAGTGTAGAGGAGCAAGATCAAGGACACACAATATATTGTTTGCACTTGGGACGGAATTTGTATCATTATATCATTTATCGTATGGAGTGCAACAGGATGCTTAAATATAATATATGAAACCCAGTATTTGAAACTTTTTGATACTAAACCTGGAAGCAAGTGACACAGACAACTGGGGGGGATTATACTGCCTTATAGACTGCACACCAGAAATAAAATTGGTATCTGACATGTAACAAACAACTGAGATATTTTTCAAGAGTACTATTTTCTTGGATGTGACGGAGTAGTCTGGAAGAGGTTTATTAGCATTTGGAGTAAAGTACTGCCTCCATCTTCAGAAACAAAAACTTTGACTCTGCTGACAGTTGCAGTGCATTCCTTTGAAACACCGGTAAACTTCTATCTCACCACAGATGTCATCCCAGAAGACATTCTCATAGTTCACCAGCATGAGAACCTCAGTTCTCACACAAGACTTTTCACTTTCATCTCCACAACATGCGACATGGTAATTCAAGTCAATTCAGGTACTCACCTGATGCTGGGGCACTTTACTTTCCAGTACTACAACTGGCACTTCAGGACTATCATCTTCAGTCGACGTTGCCACGGTGACACATTCGGGAACATGGCCTTCTGGACGAGCAGACAGCTCTGTTACACCAAGATCAAGAACAGATGTCCCAGTGGGAGTACCAACACTTGACAAAGGCTGTGGTTGCAACTGCTGCTGCTGTTGGAGGTGGTGATTATGGTCACATTCTTTAAAGATTGCTCTTCGCACCATGTCTGGCCCGCGCTGGCGTTTGGTACCAGATAACCGGCGTAGCTTCGTGAATGAACGCCGTGATAAGATAGGAAGCGGCGTTACTTCAGCAGCTCCACAACCAGCATTCCCTTCCCTTCCTTCAGGCACCTCACACAAGCCCTTGATCTTCAGCTGGTCGGCAGTTTTCAGCAGTGACTGCAGCGTGAAGGAGAAATTCACATCACTGAATTTGGGTTTCATTTAAGAATACTGACACTGAATTAATATGCTTTTTTTCCCCTCATGCCCAACACAACTGGTTACAATACTGTTATGATACATCATGAAGCAGGGCTTCCAGAAATAAAATTTAAATAAACTTACTGCTGTGCTCCAAAATTACACCAGCACATTTTCCATGGACATATTAACCTTTAACGGATGGACTTTTAAATTGCCGGCAGCCCTCTGCGACCGGTATTTAAATCGCCCTAATTAATCAACATTGCAAACTGTCACCACTCCCAAAGAGTGCATGTGTCCTGCGTCATATATATATAACATTCAGCCAACTCGGGGTGCTGCTTGCGTCATATATATATAACATTTGGCCGTTAAAGGTTAATGGGAGTACTTACTTACTTACTTATGCATGGAGCTGAGCCCTTCTTGAGGAGAAGCCAAATCTGCAACTACTCAAGAATTTCCCAGCATTTTATGGAATCCAAAGGTTCAGGTGAAAAATAAATTATTAATATTGGTATATACTTTGTATATTATAAATTTAAGAATAAATGCTTTACAACAAACTGATGGAACTTCTTACTAAGAGTGAGGATAATGCAGTTAGTATAGAGAAAGGCTATGGGCTGGATGACCGAGGGGTCGGAGCTCGAGTCTCGGTAGGGTCAACAATTTTCTCTTCTCTGTGTTGTCCAGGCTGGTTCTGGGGTCTACCCAACCTCATATCCAATGTGTACCAGGCGTTCTTCCTTGGGGAGTAAAGCGGGGGAGTGGATGTATAGATCCACGTCTTCTTGACCTCTGCACTAGCTCGAGGTGAGTGGTCAGATTCACACCCCGGTTGCTTTACCCCCGGGGAAAGAGCCTCCAGTACCCACTGTACAGAAGGCTGGTTGGGCCCCAGAGCCAGTCTGGATGCTGCAGAGTTGACAAAAATCTCTTGCCCCTGCCGGGAATTGAACTTTGGCTATCCAGTCTGTAGCATGACATTATACCAACTGAGCTACCCCAGCTCTTCCACCATGTACAGCTAGGTTCAAGATTACAAAATCACTGAAGAACCACCCTAAATACTAGGCTGCTGTACTAGGTATGAGGCAGTTGGAGCTCTTCACTGATGATCCTTCATGGGGAGTGTCAAGGGACATACCGGCCTTAGAAAACAAGCAATGCAGGCCAGGCCGGTGACTGAACTGCTGACTGGTCATTTTACATTAAGATAGCACCCACACATTATGGGCCTCTTGGAAAGCATTTATGTGTGGGACAACTCATCGTCCCACAATTTACTTTGTCAATGCCTAGTTTTCACCAGACACAGACTAGAGATCTTCAGCTCTGTATGGTTACAGGTGACAGCAATAAGCCTTCAGTCAGGATGTTTCTGGCCTTAGCACCATGGTCACAGGACCCATGTACAAACTTCTTAACAAGCTATAAGCTCACAACACATCGGGGGGTAGTCTGGGTTGTTACGAGTCTGACGCTCCGGCCGAAACTACGTTTGGAAAGCTTCGGTGATCTGGCAACACTGCCTTGGGAGACGCTTGGCAGCCCTGTATCCGCAGCCCACCCCCTACCGCCTGCGGAGGGGGTGGCTAGCAGGAGGGAATGTGTAGCGGTAGCCAGAGGAGGAGTGGGTAACGAGGCATTTGAGAGAGAGGTAGTGGAGGCTTCTAGGGGAGCGACGACGACGCAGTACAAGGAACCGCAGGAGCAGCCGGCAGGGAGTTGCGGGCGCCCCGAAGGGTCCTACCTTGGAGAGAAAGGGGAGTTTCGAACTTGGGCCAAAGGGCGGTAAGTAACGGAATACGGGCTTACCGAACTGTTTGACCCACTCAGGTATGGGGAGGCCCCCTACCTTGCCAAATTAACTTCCACCAAATCAAAAAAGGCATACGGTGGAACGGAAGAGTTTGGGCCCCTCCGGAGTGGACTGGGGTAGTGAGGACCGTCCACTAGGTCCACTGTATTTTATTTATATTATACCAGCAATAAACACAACTGTATTATGTGTAAACTGAGATGGGCAGTAATGGCCTACCCGGCCCATTAGGATCCCCCACCCCCATAGCAACCAATTCATAACATGGTGCTTAGAAAAAAAGCCCTGTGGCTTTAGTCCGCAAGTGAACTATACCAAAAGAGTGACTGCTGCTTGTACGCAAAGTTAGTGACAACTTTAGTGGATAGAGGGTATCGCGTAGTCAGCACAACGAATCCCCATGGCCATCAATTTTGCTTTTCTAGACTGGAGCCGCCATTTCTTTGAAATTGCTCCTCAGTTATCTTCACGAGGCTGAGTGGACCCTGTTCCAGACCCACTACTTCTCAGACCTGGACTTCTGGATCCGAAGTCAGGTACTCTGACCACTAAACCACAAACTGGAAAGATGTCCCCTTCCCCCATCCCAAGTCAATAATATACAGTTTTCTACGGTAACAGATACGTTTCGGATGCCATTGTAGAAGTTGTTCCCCGACATGTGTAAATCCCAGGTTCAGAGTGTCACATGAACACTGCAGTCTGTGATAACTGAAAAACAGCAAAATAATTATTGCATACCTGTAATTCAGCTTGAGACACGTCGATCTCTCCACGATAAACGAACTCAATAATGAACTTCAAATCACTAAAGCATACATCCTGTGGCATAATTATTGTTGGATGTTTGCATGGATTTTCTAGGAGCAGCTTCTGAAAGTACGACGAACATGCAGACAACACAACCTACAAAGACAGAAAAATATAAACACTTTTTAATTTTCTCATATAAAGAGAAATAATTTCCAAGGATAGTGGGGATCATGGCACATGAGGCTTCCACCTTCTTGCAAGTTCTGTTTCTTGTTTTGCTTATGCAGACCACAAAATAAGCAGACATTTAAATATAGAACACACAATGAACACAATTTCTAAATACAAAATTGAAGATAATGCAAAGAAAGCTTAAGGAAACTGTCGTCTTCATCCTCTGCCACTTCTGAGTACAGGAATCATTTCTGTGTGTGAGGGGTCCTTTGGCCTTTCTATTTTAGTGTCCATGATTTGCAAATTCAGTAATGATTATTTTTAGTCTTATAGAACGTTGGAATGCTTGTTAGTCTTGTTTTTTTAATCCCTTTATGTTTACTGAAGGGTGGTTGATGGTCAATTCGTTCCTTGTTCTTTATTTTCTCATTCATTTTCTCTTTTGTTTTCCTGTATTTTATGGGATGGAAATGAATGTGGAAAAAACAAAAGTAATGAAAATTTCGAGACAACCAACCCCAGTCACAGTAAAGATAGACCAAAAACAACTGGAGAATGTGAAATGTTTTAAATATTTGGGTAGCTTGTTAACAGATGATGGAAGGTGTACTAGTGAAATTAAATCCAGGATTGCCATGGCAAAAGCTGCATTTAGCAAGAAGAAGAATCTTTTTACCAGCAAATTGGACTTAAATTTGAGGAAGAAACTAGTGAAATGCTACATTTGGAGCATAGCTCTGTATGGGGCTGAAACATGGACACTTAGGGCAGTAGATCAGAAACATCTGGAAAGTTTCGAAATGTGGTGTTGGAGAAGGATGGAGAAGATCAGTTGGACCGATTATGTGAGAAATGAAGAAGTGTTAATTAGAGTCAGCGAGCAGAGGAATATCCTACACAAAATAAGAAAACGGAAGGCCGAATGGATTGGTCATGTTTTATGCAGAAACTGCCTTCTAAAAGAAGTTATCAAAGGAAAGATAGAGGGGCGGATAGAAGTGACAAGAAGACGAGGAAGAAGACGTAAGAAGATGCTGGATGACCTTGGGGACAGAAGAGGATATTCTCATTTGAAGGAGAAAGCTCTAGATTGCATTAAGTGGAGGAACTGTTTTGGAAGAGACTGTGGACCTGTCGTCTTGATGGATTACTGATGATGATGATTTTATGGGATGGGGTGCTTGGGTTATTTATTTGGTTGTGACTATATTTCTTACACTTTGATTTTGTTGAGATTTTGCATTTGTTTGCCAGAGTAACTGATCATTAACAGAAATAATCCTCAGTAGCCTAAATTCACGGGAAAATATTCACAGTTTCTTCGAATTACAGACTGAACGTGTATGCAGTATGTAGATAGTATACCTTATGTGCCTTGAGGGATGAGTCATTGCATGCTAAAGTAACATCAACAAACGCCTCATTGCGTAGAAGTTGATGGAACACCGATGTCATATTGGATTGATAATTATTCCAGCGCAGGCAGTAATGCTGGCCTGCCATGATGCTGAAACAAAATAAACATAACATAAACACTTTTCAGTTTTCGAAATTAAGAACATCAGAAATTATTTTTATTCAAACAATTGTTAACAGAACATTAATATTTTCTGTTTAATATATATGAAATCATAAACAATTATGGGACTTGACTGTAACCTAAATACATAGAAACAGCATGCATACTATGGTCTGCAACAGTGCCCCTCTAGTTACACTATTATCTATATCCGTAACTAACTAAACAGAGCACAGTTTTTCAGAAGACATCAGTTGCTTAGCTATTCAAGAAATTTACAGCATTTTACAGAACCTGAGGGTTCACTCAAGTGGCCACATCCTCCCATCCTATTTCCCTGAGTGAATTTTTATACTATTTTCCCAAATACATCTCAAGCCTTCCAAGTGGTCTCACTGCTTTGTGTTTTTATATCAAAATTTTGTATGTATCTCTCTTCTCTCCCATGTGTGCTAGATGCTTCATCCAACTCCCTCTATTTTCTCATTCCAATATCTGGGCAGATCACAGTGGCTGTGAGATCTAAGGCATGAATTGTCTTTGCCCACTTGAACACCGGTATCATGGGTTCAAATCCCACTTGAGGCATGAATGTCTGTCTATGTTTATTCTGTGTCCATGTTGTCCTGTGCAGGTAGTGGCCTGGCGATTGACTGACCCCCATCTAAGGAGTCCTACTGACTGTCTACAAGATTAAGAAACTGCAGTAAAATGAAAGGTTTCATGGATGCCATATGCTCCAGAGGAAGCAAAAAAAAAATATGAACGAATATCTAGCAAGAGTACAAATTATAAATTCCTCAGTATGTAATTTTCTCCAGCCTCTTGTTACTTCCTCCCTTTTGGGTCCTAACATTTTCCTCAGCAACCTGTTTTACGTTTTTCCCTTAATGTGAGGAGCCAATATTCACACTCATATAGAAGAGGATAGTTCTGTATATTTAAATCTGTGCATATTTATATAGCATACAGGAAGACAAAAGATTGTAAACTGAATGGTAATAAGAATTTCCCGAATTTAAACTATTCTCAACACCCTCATCAATATTACATGCAAAACATACCATTCATTTCAGAATCTTAGCATACACTATATCTGAAACATGCCGAAATAAAAATGCTATCGGTTAAAATATCTACCAATGTAATGCCAACATCTAACTTTCTGAAGAAACACTTTCATCACCGGGTTATCTCGGCAAACTCTCGTTATCACAAACATAAGGGAAATATTCCTTCCGAAAGGAAACGGGGGTGGGAGAACGTCAATCATCGATTCCTTTGCTTCTACTCCCGACTTCGTCATTCTCTCTCCCTCTCCGCATTTGGGACACATTCGGACTTCAGGTTTAATTACTAAATTTGGAAATATGTTGATTAAGCAATGAAGAATTAGAATATTCGTACAATGACGAATGACGATGCGCATTCTCAAACTCAATCGAAAAGGATGAAGTGAAACGCGCGGCTAGAAAGCGGATGACGGAGAGATTAACTAGGGCATGAGCTGAAGTTCTCTTTCTTTATATTCCGTCGCTCTGCCGACTGCTGACAGCATATTCCAGGCAAATATTTTGTTTTCCTTCAACAATTATAATTACGTTCGGATCACTGTCACAGAGATATATCATTTGTTATACAACGATACAACCATTCATCTTCTATTACACACAGCGATAAGAACAATATGCAGGAAATCACTTCCAGGGCGTTCTCTATTCTTTCTCACGGATTTTTTTTGAATACATTTACAGACTTTAATCTTACTGTGAAGCTCAAAATAACGTGCTAAATTCTCTTACCTGTTAACCTGGCCCTAAATCTATGAACAGACAGTCACAGCAATCAACACCACAGCAGAAAACAGTGTAGACGATTTTTAAGCTATTTTGTTGTGGACCTACTTCTTCCTCTCAGCTCTCTCTTTTGACTTTTCACCGTTCTCCTTGCATCCTTTTCTCCTCTCATTTCCGTGAAAGGCGAGTAAATTAGAAACGAAGAAGTCAAACCATTTTAGAGGGAGCCCCGCGAACGTGATTGCGTAGTGAGCAGAAATTGGTTTCTGCGCAATGTAGAACTAATTTCCCCCTAGCATTTCGTTCTACCTGAACTTCAGGTTTTAATGCGTTTACGATCCCCCGCCATTCGGTAGGTACGCCATTGTGAGAAAAGAAATTGCGTTGTGTGGTAGGGTTTGTAGATAGAGTGATTGGAAGGTCTTTTGTGTTCGAGAAAGCGGTTGGAAATAGGATATATTTAGGTAAATATGACCAAAATATGCTGATAAATGTATTATTACCTTTAAGTTTTGATATAGTGCTGTAAGTTTGTGTTAAATTGGTAATTTAGGGAATTGTGGGTGACCGTTACAAGGGTGGGACCGAAAATTTACAACTGTCGAGAACCAGTTATTTGTTGAGGTATACATGCAAATTTTAGTTTAGGATTTCACTGTAGACGTTTTGAACAGAATTGATGTAAGTTTTTCATATTTTAAGCGTACGTTAGATTTTTCCATTATTTTGCATAGTTCGGGTTCTGCCATCTTGCATCATTTATTCCCCAAAATCCGCCATTATGCGGTAGCGTCATCCCCCACCCTCATCTTTGCTCGTTAACTGTCACTGTAGATTTTATGAACAAAATTGATGTAAGTTATGAACATTTTGTTTGTTCTTCAATTGGAACCGTTAATTTGCGTAGTTTGGGTTCTGCCATCTTGCTTCATTCGTTCTCCAGAATCCGCCATTATGCGGTAGCGTCATCCCCCACCCTCATCCTTGTCTGCTAACGGTTACGATTAAGCCCGACTTCGCCATTTTAGTACAGGACATTGCAGAGACGTGGGCATATGAAAGAACTGTTTTATTTGTTGATAGGCAATGGGATCAGAACAACAGTTCTGTCTAAAATGGAATAATCATCAGAGTACGATAGTTGCCGGTTTTGACACCCTGCTGGAAAGTGGGACTTTGGTAGACTGTACACTGGCCGCAGAGGGGCAGTACTTGAAAGCTCATAAGGTTGTGCTGTCAGCATGTAGTCCATATTTTGAGGTAAGGAAATTTAAAATTTTATGTCTGGAGGAGCCAATTGACAGTTTTATTTTTTCGGTGTGAAATTGAGGAGTGTGTTGTATTTTTTTTGTTTACAGCTACTATTGAGCCAGCATGATGAGAAGCATCCAATTGTGATCCTAAAGGATGTAAAATTTCAAGAACTGAAAGCTATGGTTGATTACATGTACCATGGTGAAGTGAATATATCTCAGGACCAATTAGGGGCTCTTCTCAAGGCTGCAGAATCATTACAGATAAAGGGTTTGTCAGATAGTGGGGGAGGGGGTAGTGAAAGAGAGCGAGAGAATGTGGATAAAAGACACCATGGGACTCGAAAGCAAACTGTACCCCCTCCCCAGCCTAGATCATCTCCCATCCCACCACATTCTTCCACGCTAGGTCATAGGCGGCCAGCCCCACCGCCTCCAGCTGCTCCACCTCCAATTGTTGATCTCCCAGAGGACGATAGCCCCCCACCATCCCGACCTCCACCGTTGCCTAGGGTTCCAAGTTCTCGGGAAGGAAGTTTGTCGCCGCCACCGAAACGAAAGAGGCATCGTCGTCGATCAAGTGGGGAAGATGGAAGTTTAAGTGCAGCTCCTGTTCCAGTAACAGAAGGGTCACACGAAACTAGCAGCTCAAGTGAACTTCCTCCTCAGTCCCAACCTGCCCCGTTGGCTACTGTTCCTAGTGTTCCCGCAAATCTGACGCCTGTAGTACCCCCGTCCTCTGAACCTGCTGCACTTCCTTCAAATCAGGCTTCAGAACAACCTGTATCAGAGACTGAGCTGTTAAACCCGCCCTCACAAGCAGCAGAAGAAGCAGCACCCAGACAGCCTGCGCGTGAAATGGCCCATGAACAAGCCCTAGAACCAGTACAAAAGTTGGAGCCGCCGTCTGAAGTACTATTAGAGCCAAAGTCTGAATACCTAGAGGAGGATGTCAATGAAGATAGCGTGGAAGATCTCACATTAGATGACGACATGGATGAAATAGACCATGCGCGGCCAGGGCCTTCCCATGGCGGAGAGGGGTCCAGCAGTCAGGGGGCAGGTCAGTGGAGTAGAAGTTTGTCCTGTATATGTATATTGTCAGATTGGATACAGATATACTAATTTTGGTATATTCAGAAGGTAAGCCTTTGTTTTTTTTGTTGGCAATCTGAGTTTTTGACCCATCTTTTGAGCACATCAAATTCTACAGATATGTCTGTATCCAGTGGATCTTAGTATTATGCTTTGTGATGGAAGTTAATTTTCTAGACTTTGGTAAGTTGGATATTTGTGTTTGGAGGTGAGGGTTTTTTTTATTTTATTTTAAAGTATTGGTATGTACTGTCCAGGCCCAGTGGATAGTGCACTGTTGAGTATGTTAAGGTAATGTGAATAGGAAAGGTATGACACTAGCGTTATACAAACAGTAAAATTTGAACCACAAAATACCTTTCAGAAAAACATTACTATCTTATGGCATGTGTAAAAGGAACAAATATTTTCCTGGGTCTGCTTGAGAAAGCTTCATGGAAGTTGGCTTCATTGAAATCTCGTTTAATAACAATTGGGACTGGGGTATGGGTAAGGATGAGCAGCATTTGGCAGGAGAAAGTGTCAAGTGGGGGCAAGAAGTAATTTGGTTACTGCAAATTGAGTTCTATGATCGCTTGATACTTTATATTTTGTGCAGTTATAAAGTTAAATTAAGGGGGGGGCTGTAACTGCTTATTCATGTATTTGAGTTGGGTACATATTTGGTTCCTGTGCCTTAAAGTAGTTTGGGAGTGTAAGGAGGTAGGGAATGTTAATGATTGATGAAATTCCTTTGTCTGAAACCATTCTAATGTGAAGGTGTTTTGTTCTTTCTGACCAATATAGTGCTCTAATTTCTGAGTTTAGAAGCTTCCATTAATTTTGGTTGATTGAATGGTATGAAGTGTGTTACCTGATTATTGCTCATTGGTAAATAAGGAATATAATTTTTGTATTTGCTAAACCACATGCCCTGCTATGATGTGTGTAATCTCATGATAGAGTAAGTGCATAATTGGATATATTTGAATTTAGGAAAAAGTCTGTGTGATACACTACTCCCACCTCCAGTATCCCTTTATTTCCTTAATACTGCAAATGTTTCATATTTTAGTGGCAACTTTGGATAAATGAGTGGAAAACTTAGAGTAAGAAAAGTGTTCAATAAAGACAAATCTTTTGTTACTGTGTTTAGAGAAGATTGGGAAGGTGTTTTAATGCATGGGTTATGTGGATTATAAGCATTTTGCTCTTTTTAAGTAGTGTTAACACTACAGTTCACCAGTTAATGTATGTGTGTACAGTTGTCTTATTTCATTCTAAAAATGAAAATGTTAAAAACTACCCTCCATGCACGATGTGCAGTACATTGAAGTGTTACAGAACAAAATTTTTTTAGAATATTATTTTGATAGTAGGGTAGTATTGGTATGAAATGTATATATACAGGGTGTTTCACGACTTAGGGCATAACTGCAGGAGGTGATTTCCAAGGTCTTTGTGATCAAAAAAGTTCATATAAACATGTGTCCAATTTTGGACGGTTACGGAGTTGTGACCGCTTTTTCATTCCCCGTACATGCCCTCTGATGAACTGCGTCTGCCAGCTGGCAGGTCACTGTTTTTAGCCAGCTACAGACAGCGTTTTCTTTACCTCAACACTTGAGAGCGGGGTGGGTTGGTATGTCAGGTGCACCTCACAACCGAGCGGCATCCTGTGTTGCGGCCGACGGGGACATTTTCGAAAATCAGCCTTAAGCACCAATCAAACCAAATTAAAGTTAATTTCACGAAGTTAACTTTATGTTCATACTTTAAATGTATCGTATTATGCTGGTTTATTATTTTGTTCCGTTTATTGTCAGTAATCGTTATCTTCTATTCTGAGTTTAAAACGGTCATAACTTGGTAACTGTCCAAAATCGGACAAACGTTTATATGAACTTTTTTGATCAGAAAGACCTAGGAAATCACCACCTGCAGTTATGCCCTAAAGTTGTGAAACACCTGTATATACAGGTGTCCCAGGAGGAATGTGCCAGACTTCCGGAGGGTGTTCCTTATGTTAAAGTATGCCACCCAAAACACCTATGTCCAAAGTTGAATGGTTACAGAGATAATGGCCAGAGAAGTGTGAAACTTTGACAGGTGTTACACTTTTTGATTAGCAAATACATATTAAAACTTGCAGGAATATGTTTATGTAATATTAATAATGTACGTAACATCAAACTAACTTGTGAGTGACATGAAGCCATTTAATTGAACAAAAAAAATAACTTGCAGGACATGTCAGTGTTGTCCTTAGGTTTCCAAGCATTACGACTACTTAACTACTAAAATACAGTACCTGCTTTATACTAACTGTTCAAAGTGTCCTCTGCCAGCTGCGATGTATTCCAACAAACATGGTAACTCACTCAGGAAGGCTTCATATGTGTTTCCAGTTAAATTTTTGTGAGAGACAAAAGGTCTTAACAACCTGTGCCCAAGTACACCACACCATACATTCACAGAAGTCTCTCTTGGAATTTTGTTACCATTATCTCGTGGATTATTATGGGACCACATATGCACACTTCGTAAATTATTTACACTGTCCTGGGTAAAAGACACCTAATAACTGAATAAAATGACGCTTAGCAGTTCGGGATGAGCTTTTGTCCAGTGGCAGAAATCCATATGTTGAGCATCGTCGCCTGGCTCCAGATGTTGTACCCTTTGATCATGGTAAGGATACAGCTCTTCATCATGTAAAGTTCACCACACCTGCATACGTGATATGCCGATGTGAGAGCCCGTTCTACGAGTGGACAGATGCGGACTTCTCTGCACCATCTCAAGAATGTTTTCTCGTTTGTTTCTCATTCGTACATCCTCCCTTTCAGAGTGCACAGAAACACTCTGAAGAGAACCAGTATCACACAATGTCTGGTGAATTCGCGTAAATACACTTCAAGATGGAATCCTTTGATCGGGAAAACGCCTTTGGTATTCAACAGCAGCACGTGCATTGCCACCACAAAATCCATACACAGAATGCATATCACAATATTCCACATGTGAAAACAAAAGGCATTTCAGCAACTTCACACAACTAATTTACCATCCATTCACAACGTGGCCGCAACTTACCCTGAAGCTAGCGCATGAGCTTACGGCTAGTGTGAATCACCACGCTCAGGGACAAACATAGATAAGACTTCTCAGCTGACAGGTACAGTGCGTGGACCCGCCAGAGGACCACACTTTTCTCTGGCCATTATCTCCGTAACCGTTCAACTTTGGACATAGGTGTTTTGGGTTATATCGGCATACTTTAACATAAGGAACACCCTCCCGAAGTTTGGTCCATTCCTCGTGGGACACCCTGTATGTAGAAGTACAGTGATTGTTCATGAAAATTAACATCTAAATGGGAAAGAATGTTCAGAAGTCAGTCTGAAGCAGAAATTTAGCATTCGTGTGGCAGGTGTTTCTGAGGTTCTGCAATGTGTTGGTCTTTTGTCTAAGAATGGTAATGGAACATCCTTGGTATTTTGTTTTAGGTGTAAATCCCTCATAATGCCTTGTCAGTTGACAGTTTTGAAGGCCTTGAAATGGTGAAAAGATATTTTTCTGTTACACTAAAGGGATTTTAAGAGTTCCATCTTCTGGGCTATAATTTATTGAAAGTTGGCCAGTCTGGATTATATCCCAGAAGAATGATTTCATCGCTATTGTGAGAACCTTGACTCCTGCATACAGGGATTTTCCTATAGATGTGATGGTCAAGTGGCCGAACAGGCATTTGTGATGAAAATGCCTTTGCTGAGTGGTTGGGGAGCCACCATTGAAATTATGCTCATTTAAGTCTAGGAACAGTTCTGGCCCCAAGAAGATGGTGTTACATGCAGACCCAAAATTGCTTTTGTAGGATGTTTCAGTGGCCATGGCTGTAGTGCGACCTGAACCATGCAAGAGACCTTGTTTTGAAGAATTTCATTGTGGGCTCAGGAATCAAAATTTTTCTGTACCACCACTGTCAGTATTTTGATGTGAGATAACGGCTGAAAGTACAGAGCAGCGGCATGTCTAAGTATAGGGTCATCGACATTGTGCAGACAAGATTTGAATGAGTTTTGAACATACGTCAGTACTGCAGACTTTGTGTTCATGTAAAACGTGCCACATAAGATGTAATAATACAATTGCTGAGCTTTTGGATATTATCCAAACACAACATCGTTTTGGAGACTGGAACTTTTTCTTTGCCTTCAGCCAAAAGCCTGCTTAGTCTGGGAGATAAAGAACTAGTGATATAGATCGGCCCCATCTGAGTAGATTTTCACCTGAAGATGGAGGCAGAATCCAATTTCTGAAACGTTGTGTTCTAAATAAAAACGGTTTGATTGATCGTGTCCAAAAACTTAAAATCTTTTGCTACAGTTTGGGGGGGGGGAGCAGATTTTATATCATGTCGCCTTTAGGGTTGATGTACTTTTGCAGCTTGAGTGGCAAGAGAGACTGGGTATGGTTCTGCTGCTGCAGTGATGTGACTGCTTCAGTAGCTCTGCAGTTTGACTTCTTAAATTTTAGCATTCATCTTGCTTTTCTGAGTTGAGTTATGATTTAATATTTGCCTGCCCATATCTGAGCAGTTGACAGGTATCCTTGTTACTGTGAGAACGTAACCACTGTGGCCTAAAGTTTCATATGCAGCTGCTGCATGGTTTTACTGCACTAGGGGAAATATACCTTTGCATTAGCTGCAAAATTGTATTTTAAAATTGACATAAGTTTTTTCAGGGCGCATATGGTCACTGTTTTGCCACACACTTCAAAAATTGCCATATCCAAAATGTCTGTCTGCGTGTTGACAGCATGTAGTGCTAAAGTTAAATGACCTGGAGCTGTATATGCTATTACACCCATAAGCTTCATGGTGTGTAATTAGCCCAAGCATATTTGCTTGTTGTATTAGAGATGGGGAAAATGTCATATTGAATGTTACTTAATCAAATGTGACCTGGTGGGACCCTGCAGTAG